GCGTGCGTGCGTGCGTGCGTGCGTGCGTGCGTGCGTGTTCTCACCAGAGCCTGCATGTCGTACATGGTTCCCAGGTGGTCCCAGATGACGGAGGAGGAAACCTGCCGGCCGATGTTCTGGCTGAACTTGTCTCTGATGCAGATCATGTGGAAGTGACGGTTCACTCCTGAAACCAGAGACCAACTCTGACACAACACCTACACAGCGTTCATTCCACCAAGACCAACTCTGACACAACACCTGCACAGCGTTCATTCCACCAAGGTTCGAGGTTCTTTACAGAAGTCCCTCGCTACATCGTGGTTCGACTTCCACGGACTCGCTCTTCCACGGTTTTTCAAAGTCAGATTGGACATGACACAGTTGGCTGACTGACGGATGAGGCGCATGATCAGCTCGGAATTTTTGTCCTTGGTTTATCGCAGGTGTTTGGGACCACGCCCCCACGATAAGTGACAAACTATGAAGCAGGGACACAGTAGTCCAAGTCCAAGTTCAGTCCAAGTTCAGTAAACTTTGTCATGTGTCAGGCTGTAATCACTCATCACCTGTTACTCCCAATCTCCCCCCTTAATAATAATAATAATAATAATGTCAGCACTGTATGTTTCCATACAATGGTGAAATTAGTCTCTGCATTTAACCCATCCACCACCAGGTGGTGCAGTGGGCAGTTACTGAGGGCACCCCAGGGGCATTTTAGGGATGGGGTGTGCTGCCAAGGGACACCATGAGGTGTGCCGTGACCGGGGATCGAGCCTGGGACTTTCGGGTCCCGAGCTGGCTGCCCTGCCTCTACACCATCTCGGCCCCTTGTAACACTTTTATATTTTCTGATTTGATGATTTTTACGATGTGACAGACTTTGAATTTTAAGTTGCAAGACAAAAGTCGATCGGTGCATCTGGACAGCTAAGGGTTAACTCTTCACAAAGCTGCAGCAGGAGAAATGTGGGCGTGGAAAACAAGGAGATCAGCTGATCAGCTGCAGGAGGGAGCTTCCCCCTGCACTTGTGGGCTGCACACATGGTGCAAAATCCATCCATCCATTTTCTTTACCCGCTTCTTCCATTTTGGGTCACGGGGGTCGCCGGTGCCCATGTCCAGCAATCACTGCGAGGGGCGGGGACACCCTGGACGGGTCTCAAGTCCATCACAGGGACACATAGAGACAAACGAGACAAACAACTATTCACTCTCTCACTCACACCTAGGGACAATTTAGAGTTACCAATCAGTCTAACATGCATGTTTTTGGTCTGTGGGAGGAAACTGGAGTACCTGGAGAAAACCCACACATGCACGGAGAGAACATGTTGGTGCAAAATCATTTTAAATAATTTATTTTAAATAAACAACCCATGGCTCATCCATCAGTCAGCCAATTGTGTCACGTCCACTTTTACCGGTACTTTGAAAAACCGCGATAGAGCGAATGCACAAAAAATTAACTGCAAAACAGTGAGGACTACTGCAAATTATTTTAAATTGATTTAGCACCTGCTGTACCTGTGTGCAGCCCACAGCTGCAGGAGAAGCTCCCTCCTGCAGCATGTCATGATCTCCGCTCTCTGCCAGCAACTGCATCGGAGAAGTGGGCGTGGCCAAGAGCTGAAATCATGACATAATCTGCTCTTTTGGAGCGCTTAGAGTTTATAAACATTATTTACAATATTGCAAGAGTGTGGAAAGGTTTAATGTTTAAACACCTTAATGTACAGGTGCTGGTCATAAAATTAGAATATCATGAAACGGTTGATTGATTTCAGTAATTCCATTCAAAAAGTGAAACTTGTGTTATATTCATTCATTACACACAGACTGAGATATTTCAAATGTTTACCGACAGTTTTAGAAGGGGGGGGGGGGGGGGGAGACAGAGATACAGCCGCGCACGGTTTGCATCGACAGTTTGGAGCAGGTCAGAGGAGAGAAGACACATCTCAGCCGTGCACCGTCTTGTTATTTCCCGATCTGTTACAGAAGCACGATCCGTAGTGTACTTCCAGGTCGCACAGATCACCGTTGTTTATGAATTAAATTCTATCTTCACCGATCTTCATGTAGCTAATTTACGCCACTCGTATCTCCGTTACAATCATTGGTTAAGATGATCTGCGACGCGTTGGAGCTGACCCCCAGCCTGGGCTGAATGAGAAAAACCCTGCGAGATACAGAATGAATCATTTCCATGGTGAAACCGCGCCGCTCATGGTGAAGCTGCAGATCATTTTAACCATGACGTAAATACGTCAGTGATTTTAACGGAAATATGAGTGGTGTAAATTAGCAACATGAAGATTGGCGGAGATAGAGCACGTACTTTTCTAAGTAAATTACGACTGCTCTTATTCACAAATGTAATTATACTAGTACATTTTCCTTAATCCAGCATATTCAACTGGCGATCCGTGCGACCTGGAAGTATTCCTTTTAGTGCATGTGCAAATGAGCTACACTACGGATCGGGTTCGGTAACAGACTGGGGAATGACAGGTCTGTACAGGCAGCTTTTTTGGGGGTGGGGGAGAGACAGACACACATGAGCTGCTTGTACTGACAGTTTTCAAGTGTGTGTGGCGGGGTGTCAGCGTGAGGGTTCAGCATGAGGGAAGAGGCTGCCTTTAGCTTTTCAGCTAGTGCACCAGCATTGTGAGCTGCTAGTTTAGCGTTACATCAGTACCGACTAGTGGTTGGGGGGGGTGAGTTGACAGGGCGGTGCGCCCCGCTTGTAAAATGGTAGGGGAAACACTGCGGTGTAACCACATAAGTGGTTACATAACCATGGGGTTCACGTGTTTGAACCCCGTCTGTGGGTGTAAGGATGCATTCACAGCAGCCCTGTTTAGTCGCTTTAATCGAACTCTAGCTCGTTTTCCTAGAAAGTCCGGTTCGTTTGGGGAGGTGTGAACGCGCCATCGAACTCTGTCACGGAACAAAAAGGCGAACTCTGGCCCGGGCTAAAACCTAGGTCTAGGTCCGGTAGAAGAGAACTCCAGCTCCATTTCGAGTACAGTGTGAATGTAAACAGACCGGGCCCCGCTCCACAAGCAAGAAGTGGAGTACAGCGCAGGACAAACAAACACGCATTTCTCTTAGCTCATATGGAGCCGTCAGCTGCCTTGTGTGAAAAACAACATTCTCCGTGGTCTTTTGCCTCATCTTCTGCTCATGCTGAGTCCATTGTTGAAAGACTGGACTCTGCTTCATCCGAGGACGGAGCTGTGTCTGTGTTTCAGCTGATAAGTTCATGTTTGTTAACGTTGCTGCAGCTGAACACGTGCATCGTGGTGAATTAAACCAGGATCCATGTAACACTAACTTTAAGATATTAGTGTGGAAATTTATTTTATGGATATCTATGTAGCTAGCTAAACTCAGAAGCTAACTAAAGACTGACAGTAACAGATGAAGCTTGTAAAATGTGCTCATCCATCAGGTCAGCTGCTTAAACAGTTCACCTGATGTTCATGTTTCTCCTCACAGGAGGTTCTGACCCTGATGCCACAGGACAATCACAAACTTTGTTGTTAAAAGTTTGCTGCTTTTTCTACAGTGGAGGCTGCATGGTGGAGGTAAGTAAACTGTAAAGGATGTTGTTGACCAGTTAAACCAGTATCTATCAGCCTAGATAATGGTTTTTGATCAATAATAACACAACACACTTCAACACTTGCTCTTGCCAAGGGCGGACGTCTCCTCCTCTCCCTCTCTTGCTTTTGCTCTGTCCTGTCTGTGAAACTGCTTTAGAGCCTCTCTTCTACAAATCTTCAGAATCATAACGGACTGGATTTGATCAGTTGGTCCCTCAACACAATTGATGACATTTCTTCAAAGAGAAGACAGGATTCAGGCGAGTCGATTTGCCCTGTTGGCACACACACAGCTGGATATCTCATCGACTTTGAAGACATGATGACGTGTCTATTTCTGCTGTCATTGATGGATGTTAAGGACACATTTATAATTGGATTTATGATAACTGGTTCCTGGTCTATCTACAATCAAGGAAGTCATCGGCAGCAAATTTTAACCCGATCGCGCTGCTTGCTTTATGATGGCTTGGTTCGTGCCTCGAGCACCCAGACTCAGATGCTTTTGGCAGGATGGATCAGATCTCGGGGATTATTCTCAGGCACAGTCCATTGGTGTGGCCATTTAATTTGGACGTTTTGGAACCGAGTGGACCAACAAAGACTTAAGGTAGATGTCATTAGGTTCTGCATGTCCCCAAAACAACTGTGTGCTTATTTGAATTTGGCTCCCCTGGCTGGCCATGTTATTGTTGATGTTTTGTGTTTTCATGTCAGTTAGGGAGATGATCAGAGCACTAAACCCCAGAGAACCACAGAGAAGATTCAGGCAGAGACACAGAGGTGCAGAAGTCTGCATCAACCCTAACCTCAGTGAATCCAGTGACCTGCTGGTGGGGTGTGAGGGACAATCACAGATACCTGGTTGTCAAACTGACAACCAGGTATCTGTGTGTGCAACAAGCATCATCCACACCCTCAGAGTGAACATGTTCTACTGCTGGAGACACCATCAGCCAGGAGCAGCTGGTTTGTGTCCAGAGAAACAGACATGTTGATGTTTCTGAAGAAAAACTGTTCAGTGAAAAGGTCCTCAATGTGAAGCAGTGAGAATCAAGTCGTTTTCACAGCTGATAGTCCGGTAGACTCGGTTCTGGACCAAAATTCATGACCTTTTGTTACATTTGAGCTGGTGCGTTTGCATTCACACTGCACTGTGCAGTCGAGTCAACCT